AATTTTTGGAACATTTGACTGAATCTGACTTCCTTGAACTGTCAGAATCATGGAGCTGGCTAAGAGTAGAAAGGTCCAGATGGTGGAAACATCAGGAGAGAAAGATCTAACAATTGTTGTGGGGAGAGAAAGAGTTGGGAGTCTGAAGAGAAGTCTGGCATGTGAAGAGTAATCATTACTACCCAATTAAGTAAGATCTTTTAATCAAAAAAATTTCCAAAGCACTCTTTGTGCATGCACACACACACAGTGGGAGGGGAAGGGGGATAGGGAGTAAGAGAACAGACTACCTGTCTAATTTGCTATCTGCATTAATATAGAAGTTGTTAAAATATACCACGAAATATAGAGAATGTGCAGGTTATTGAGCTTCATATATGTAGCATTTGTGTATTAGAGAAACTGACTCCTGCATTCTTACCTGGTTTACCACTGACTCCTTTGTTGTACACGTCACTACAATGGCATAATACTCTGCTTGAATTTGGGGCTCTCTCTTTCAAATTTCTCATTTGCAATAATGGTACTTACCTGCTTATATGTGTTATTATTGAGCAGTTCATCAATGTGCACAAAGAAAGTTTAAAGTATATGATATGAAGTATTATGACAAACTAGTATAATGATAATTGGTGATTGTTTTTATTATTAAAGAATATTCAAAGGAAAATCCTGCTTTAACTATATTTTCAGCCCTTTAATGGTGAATATTTGGATTCTCTTCTTGGATGCTTGAGATTCTCTGGGAAGAGCTGAAAGAGATGGAAGTGTCAAAGAAGGAGTTGAAGGAATCAACCAGAGCCTTTGTTTTGGAACGTGACTTACAGGAAAACAAATTCCATCAGCACCAACTCTACTGTCTGGATTTATTGTGGACTTGGGGCTGCAGAAACTGTGTGATACCATCTTACAGAGAGGCTTTTAAAAATGTTGACACATTGCAACTAGTTACCTGATCAATGAACTGAGGCTGTTATTCCTAGTATTTCTGTTATGGACTGTAAAATTGCAGCAGTAGCAGGTTTGTTTTACTATTTACTGAAGTTATGAAAGAAAATAAAAAATGAAAGGACAGGATGGATCTTTGGGAATACAAGCAATGTTTTTGAAATCTTAGTAGGGTTGATGTTCCTGACCCCTTTTGCTTTAAACATTCTGTGCCATCCTTTTCCAAATGGGTTCCTGAAGCATGAGGGTTAGTGACTCACATAAACATCATATAAAGTCAATGAGATTTTTGCCTCTGTCCCACTCTCACCCTGCTGGAAAAACCAGTTTTTATTGCATGTTGTGTGCTTGACACAAGAAGCACTATTTTGAAAGCCTCCAGAATCTTGGGAGAAATAATGTATTAAGGAAATAAAGTCAGGTGATGTCCATAGCATACAACTAACCTGGCAGAGAAAAGCCTTGTGGATATGAAGAAAAAAAAAGCCTGACATATTGTGTTCTACTTGGTTGTTACCTGCAAAAATTAGTCATTCCCATGCTTGCAACAGATATGTATTTGGACATGCGGATTTTTCATATGCCAGTGGGCATCTGAACAGACAGAACAATAAAAACCTACCCTCACTTACCCCATGTAAAGTACCTCCTGGAATCAGTGGTATTATATATATATATATATATATATATATATACACACACAGAGAAAGAGAGAAATATCTGAGAGACAAATCCATCTTAAGCTTTTTGGTCCAAAAGAAATGAAAAATGCTTCCTTAGTTTCTTCCTCTAAAATGTGTAGAAGTTTTTATATTTATGTGAATCATGCTGCTATCAGCAACACTGACTGCCCTAATTGCACTTTCTGGACAGCTTGTACTATAATGATAATAATTAAGCATGCCCTGAACTCATACAGCATCTTTCACATGAGGTTCTGAAACAGTTAATTAAGCCCCACAAACTCCTCTGGAATAGGTGGAGTCACCTTTATTTTATAGATCAAAGGATAATAGGAAGTAGGGATGAAAGGGACTTCATGAGGTCTTCTAGTCCAGCCCTCTGCTCAAGGCAGGATCATCCCTGACTAAACTGTCTCAGTTAAGTGTCTGCCTAACCTGCTTCTGAAAATTTCTAGGGATGGAGATTCCACAGTCTCTGGAGAAGATGGAGAAGTTGAGACAGAAAGAACTGTAAGGGTTACCATCATGTTAAAAATCAAACTTTTCTCTGATATATTGACCTATTATTGTTACAGGAAACTTTTATAATTATTATAGTGAAACAGATGGGAGAAGACTGATTTTTCTTTTCTTTTTTGGTACACTTTGTACTAATGATAATGCTTCAAGTGATGTTCCGGTTCTATTGAAGGCCGTGGGGCTAGGGACAGAAGTTACACATAAACTGGTTTGAGTGATCAGAAACGGGTTTAAACCTGTAACAGAACAGAAGCTCGGTGCACATAAACCAGTTTCAAAATGGCTGAAACTGGTTTAAGATAAACCTGGTTAAATGTAGTATTAGACTTAACTGATTTGGGTTAAACGAGTTTATAAAACTTCTGTTCCAGACCCCTTCCTGGTTCAAGTTAAATCATAGTCCCCTAGCATCCCAGCATGCTTTCCAGCCCTGGGTTGGGGCGTGCTGTCTGCTCCAGAGAGCAGTGCTGGCCCTGCCCCTCTGCTCCCTAGCTGTAGCAGTGAGGGATAGCTGACAACAGGGGGTGTGGGGCACAAGCCTGGCTGGGGATGCAGCCCAGTCTATGGCGGGGGGGGGCCCCCCCCTCCGGCAAAACTTGCTGGGGTCTGAGGCCAAGGAATGGGGGTTAAACACCCCTTTCCCTGCTCAAACTTACTGCTGGCTGCAACTGTGGACTACAAGTCCCAGAGGCACCTGGAATCAGGAAGAGGAAGTAATAAGCAACCCTGCAGACTCCTGTTACTGTAACTCTGGACTGCAAATCCCAGAAGCCTCAGGGGCAGCAGGAAGAGGAAGTGAACACAGCCAGAGAGCCCGGCTCTAGTGTGCCTTGGCTTCTGGCCTGAGCCACTGCAGGCATATGGCTGCATTTCCTGAATCAAAGGTAAATGTCTGTTTACTTCTGTTTCAATTTAATCTGTGTAGCCTAGACTAATGTGCAAAGACTGAATCAATTCAGCTTCAGGCTTTTTGATTGTCTGTACCTAGCCTCGGAGTTCCACTGGTGATTTCAGTGGAGGTCAAGGTTTCACCCCTTTCCACGTGAGTGGAGTCATTATTTTCTCTGGTTAGTCAGTTACTTTGTCACTTTCCATGGTTTGTGTGGCTCTCTCATAGTGACAGACAAGAGAAAATATTTTTAAAAACTCGTTTAAACAAACGTGAAGAAATGGTAATATTTTGAAAGGGGATCTCCTAAAATAGCCTGAACCTATTTTTAATTTACTGTTTTACAACTGAAGGGTCTGTTTGAATGAATTGCACAAGGCCACATGTGATTCAGTTGAGGTGAGTTAGTCATCTGTTGTGGCCACTACACAATGCTTCTACCTGTTCCTTCTGAACAACTGGTAGCTTTATTTCTCCATTTGGTAAATAAAAATAATATTCGTCATAGAATTCTTTGTCTATATATATTAGACATTGTCTATATACATTATAGACATTTTGAGATACCCACACTCCCTTTCAAACACCCCTACATGAACACAAGTTATACACTATATAAAAGGCTTTTTTCTTATTGATACAAGATAATGCTGTAATTGTAGGGGAAGCAGGCTTTGATTCCTAAGGTAGGAGATGTTTGATAAGGATTTAACTTCAGGATACAGACCTACTACTGTCACAATTTGTTATATGCTTCCACTAACTTGGGTTTATTTTGAGAAGGAAAATACTTCTTAACAGATTTTTTAAGTGATACTTGACATAAATTCTATATTCTTATCGAATAACCAAAGATGGGGTATTTGTGTTGGGACTCCAATGTTTTTTCATTATTGTCTGGGCTGCAGGCTATTTTACAGTGTTCTTTTGTTTGTGAAATGCACTGTTAATATTAGGCTACTCCCTATCTCCTCCAAAAATGTACATGTAATATTTGGCCAGATCCAGCAGAAAAAAGGGGCATTATGACTCCAGTTTTCAAAAATGTGTAAGTATCAGTGTATAGATTAGACTTATAAAAAGCATATATATATATATATATATATATTCTTTTAAAAATCTGAGTTGCTAAACCCAAAATATTGTTTGCTTATAATTAGCTTTATTCCTCTGCCCTAAAGTGATATTTATTTTGCTGTTGTTGAAAATTACAAAAATATTAATTAAAAATGTGGTCAAGGTCAAGTGCTGGGCTGATGTGGCTGTAGAGAGAATAGGTCAGAGAACAGAAAGAAATGTAGTTAAGGACTTAGGATAAGTCTGTAAAGGTCTTGTAAAATATAATAACCCTCTTGTAACTGCTGAGGACTTGTATGAAGACAATGATGTGTTCCAGTTTACATGGATGAATGAGCAGACAAGCTACAACATTTTGGATAGATTCAAATTTGGAGAACAGTATAGAAAACAGAATAAATTGTACAGGGGGAAAAGATGGGAAGAATTCTGAATGAGCTTTTGCATCTATGTGAGACTGGCCAGAAATGCAATAGGAAATAGGCTTTTGCTCTACAGAATGGTTAAGCAAAGGGCACTGTTGGCCTTTCCACAAAGTCCAGAATACAGAAGTTTTTGGAGACCCTTCTCTTAGGCCACTTACTAGTGGTGGAATATAGGCAAGCGGAGAATCTGGATAGTGGGATAGCACACAGGGTGATTCTGTTTGCTGGGTCCCACACTTCTTGCAACTTGATGCATGTTGCTTACTGCATACTGCATGTTGCTTACTGCACACTTAGTTCAAATTGAATCAATATATGATCGCTTGTTCCCAGATTTAGTCTGGGAAATTGAAGTCTCCCATAAATGCACAAAGTTTTGGAGGGGTGTAGGGGATGACGAGTTCACTTTGGAGCCCCAGAACGTTTCTGCCACTTACACAGGTTCTTGTCCATTTTGAGCTGCATATTCTTTTCCAGTACTTTGCCCAATTACAGCAGGTGAAGTGTTTAAAAATGAGGCTCTTGTCAGACACAGGTGGTGTTTTCCAAGAAAATTTAGGTAGATGTACAGACCTTGGAAACATAATGTCATGGCATTTCTCTTAAATGTTTAAATTATATTAATTTTTTTCAGCATTGATGTCTTTTGAATATATATGGGAGTTAATTTTCTTCAGTGTACATTATTCTGAAGAGCTGTTACACTTTGCTTATATAGGGTTTCTGGTAAAATGCACACATCTTTCGTTACCTGTTTTGTAAGTGTATGATGTAAATGATCAGTGTATTTAATTTGTCTACATATGGGTCCAAAGTTTTATTTTTCTTGCTTATAAAATAAACTCTATGAGTTCTGGGGTATCTGGCATCATGCAGATATGCTGTAGATATCAATAGAATTGTGTTAATATTTTTTCCATCAGTTTTCAAGTGTAAGTGAGATTTTTGGTGACTGGATCATAGGACTGGAAAGGATTTCATTTCGGCTGCAGGGCACTTCGCTTGAGTGACAGGAAGAGACAGTTGCACAACAGTGGTTCCAGTGCTGGCAGTGCCATTGTGGGGCAGGTTTGAAGTGTTCAGAGCTGAGCTGTGTTAAAGCAGCCCCTCACTACAAGATGTTGCCCACCCCTGTTCTAAGATACCAGTTACAGTCCACAGCTGCTGCAGGCGCCACATCGTATCATCACTGTCATAAAACAATCAAGCTCCCTCTGAAATCTAGTTAGGATTTTTTTGCTCCCACTGTCCCATCTTTTCAGGCAAGAGAAAAATCCAGCACAGCAAGATGTAATTTTACAAAAGGGAAACTACACCAAAATGAGGAAGCTAGTTTCAAGGAAACAACAAGATACAGCCAAGAGGGTAAATGCCTACAGACAACATAGAAACTGTTTAAAAACACTACAGCAGAGACACAGAATAAATGAATACCACAAATCAAAAAAAGACAGGAAATGGCCCCAAAAAACATTCAGCGTGGTTTAAAGGCAAAGTCAAAGAAGCTATTAGAGGCAAAAGGCATCATTCAAAAAATGGGAGTCTTGCCCAAATGAGGAAAATAGAAAGGAACACAAACTCTGGCAAGCTAAATGTAAAACCCTAAAAGAACAGGCCACAAAAGAATTTGAAGAACATCTCACAATAGACATAAAAGCTAATAGTATATATTTTTAAGGAACATCAGAAGCAGGAAGCCTGCCATGCAGTGACGCCATTGGATGACCAGGATGTGAAAAGTTTACTCCACATGAGCACGCATGTGCAGTTTGTGGTGCTGCAAACCGCACATGGTGAACTTGCAACTGTGCATTGCACTTCAAATTTGCAGCACAGTGCCAAAACTTGATACTAGGACATCCCAATATAAAAACCCCCTCCTGTTGTAAAAAGTGGCACGTGACAGCAGCATGTGCCTCCAGAAATGGAGCTTGGCCATCCAGAGCCACAATCTGGCTGGTGGGCAGGCTCTGTGCGGCTAGATTGGGACCACTGCTGCCCCAGGAGGCCCCCAGGACCCCAGGCAAGGCTTCTGGAGCCAGCACAGGTGTTGGCCCCAGCCTGCCCTACCCTACCTGGGACAGTTTGGTGCGTGCCAGAGTGTGTGCAGGGGCGTGCCGTGGGGCACAATGCAGCAGCACAAATATGTGCCACTGCTACTTGTGCTGTGGCAAACACATGCCCCTGCATGGCGGGGGACATGCCCCAGGAAGACAAGGCGATGGTAGAGAGGCTAACTGGATCTTTTGCAGAGTATGCCGGGGAGATTCCCACATGTGATCCATTTTTCTTACACGGTACACTGAATGAAGTTTTAGAGCAAATTGTTAAAAAAACAGTAACAAATTACCAGGACCAGATGGATTTCACCCAAGGATTCAGAAGGAACTCAAATATGAAACTGCAGAACTGTTAACAAAAATACGCAGCCTGTCACTCAAATGATGTCAGAGGGCTGGACAAGAGACAATGTAACACCATTCTTTAAAAAAGACTCCAGACGTGTTCCAAGAAACTGCAGATCGGTAAGTGTGACGTCTGTTCCTGACAAATTGGTAGGGTGTATAATAAAAAAAATAGTAGTAGTAGTCACGTGGATAAATATAAGCTGATGAATGAGACGGTATGCTTTTTCTGTAAAGGGAAATTAATGTCTAACCAATCTGCTGGAGTTTTTTTTTTTTTTTGAATGTGTGAACAAGTATATGGATATGGAGAACCCAGGGAATATCCTTCATCAAAGACTTTTAAAGAAACAAAGATGTCATGGGATTGAAGGAATGATTGTTCCTGTATTGAAAATGGGTTAAAAGATGGGGAAAAAAAGGGATGAGAGGATAGGACTAGGGTCATTTTTCAAACTGAAGGAAGGTAAGAAGTGGGATCCCCAGAGGCCTGTGTTGGGGCCTGTGTTACCCCGTGTTGGAGCCTGTGTAATCTTAATTATCCTGGGTAGTTACATTCAGAGTTACAGAAAGATCTTACAAAATTGAGTGAGCAAAAAAGTGGCAGATGAAATTTAACATTGACAAATACAAGGTAATGCAAATGCTGAAATGTTAACCTAATTATACATGCTCAGCGATGGGCTCTGAATTTTCAGTTAGCACTCAAGAAAGATCATGGTATTATTGTGTAGAGTTCTCTTAAAATGCCAGCTCAATGTTTAGTGGCAGTTAAAAAGCAAATGAAATATTAGGAACCATTAAGAATGCATTGGAAGGCAAAACAAAAAAATATTATGCCACCATATTAAGTCCATGCTTTGTGCACGTCTTGTGCGCATGTGTGGTTCTGGTCTCCTCATCTCAAAAAGCATATACTAGAAATAGAAAAGGAAGGACAACAAAGATGGTCATGTGTATGATAACTTTTGTATGAGGAAAGACTGAAAAGTTTGGGATTTTCCAGTTTGGAAAAGTGACAACTAAGTGGGGGCAGGAAGGAGAATATGATCGGAGTGTATAAAATCCTGGCTTCTCTGGAAAAAGTGACTAGAGAACTGTTATTCTATTATGTTTTATAATACAAAGCGATCCATCATGAAATTATCTGACAGAAGTTTTAAGACAAAAGGAAGTACTTTTTAACATGACACAATTAAGTTGTGGAATTCATTGCCATGGACGTTGTGGAAGGCAGCAGTATAAATAAGATAAAAAAGGAATTAAACACATTTCTGGAGTCCAGGTCCATCAGAGGCTAAGAAACGCAACGGTTAGGGATGTAACCTGTTGAGTGATTGGAAGGTTGGCCAGGGAATGGATTATTACATGAACTCCATTTCCAATACCCTTCCTCTGAAACATCCACGACTTAGCACTGGTAGGGACAGGATAATTGGATAGAAGGACCTGACCTAGTACAAAATTTCTTTTGTTGTTATGAGGAGGGTGCTCCATAAGCTCACTGCTGTGATGAATAGAAGCTTTCTTCTAATTTCCAGCCTGAATTTATTCATGAATAACGTACACCTTTTTGTACTGGTGTCAATATTGTCCCTTAACTTGAATAGTTCTGTTCCTTCCCAGTGTTTTACTTGTAATGTATTTTTAGAGAGCTGTCATATCCCTTCTCATCCTTTTTTTTTTTTTTTTCTGCTAAACTAAATAAGTCAATCTTCTACTTTTTTTTTAGTTAGATAGGTGCTCCATTTCCCATGTCATCGTCATAACCCTTCTCTGGTAACTGTTCTGGTCTGAATTAATTTTTTTTTTTAAATGTTGGGAACCAAAATTGTACATACGATTCTAGATTCATCAACGCCTGCTACAATGGTATTAACACTTCCCTATCTCTGATAGAAATACCTGTCCTGAAACATCCTAGGATTACATTTGCCTTTTTCAAGTCTTTATCACATTTGTGGCTCATAAGTATCTGGTGATAAAGTACTACACCTAAGTCTTTCTCCTCATCTGTTATTTTCAACTCTTAACTGACAGTAGAAATTCTTTTTTATTAGTTCTCAAATGCATGACCTTACAGTTTATACTGTTGAATTTCATCCTATTTCTATTAATCTAGCCTTTAAAGCTGTTTAGGTCTCCCTACATGATATCCTGGTCTTCTTCTTTATTAATGTCTGCCAGATTCATGCCATCAGCAAATTTCATTTGCATACCTACTTTTTGTGTCAGTTATTAATGCAAATACAAAGTCATATTGGTTTCAACACCAATCCTTGATATACTCCACTAGTAACTTCCCTCAGCCCAAAACTTTCCTTTTCAGCACTTATCCTCTTTATCCAGTTCTCTACCTGCCTTATGATTTTTGCATTAATCTCCCTCTTCTTTAGCTTCATAAAAATTTTCTAGATAACCCAATGTCAAATGTTTTACTCAAGTCAGATAGATTAGACTTATCTATCCATGTTTCCTTTATCTAGACAGTCACTTATGGAAAAAAGGTAAGATCCACGTTGCCCTGGCATCTAATTTTGGTACACCCATATTGCATTTTATCTCATTTTCCATTTACTTCCACTTCTTTTATGATTCTTTCCTTCATAATCTATTCTAAAGCCTTGCATGTTCTTGTGGTCAGAATAAAAGATCCCCAGATGACATCCCCCTTTAATATAGGTACTGAGCCTTCCATTTTTCAGTTATTTGAAATCACCCCAAACTTGATAGATTTGTTAAAAATCTTTGCTACCAGTCTTATGATTTCATGTGCTAATTCTTTTAGAATTTTGAGACTTGAGTGGATTTGAATTTTGCTTCTACATGGGTTGTTGAAATTTCTTTTTCCATTTTCTCCTTCTCGTTAGTCGCTCTGATTTTTTTTTTGTCTTCATAGTCCACATCACCATCCTTATTGAAGAATGAGAAAATATTCATTTAGTTTCTGGGCCATGCCTAGATGTAATTTCTACCCCATCCTTGCTGCATAGCAGTCCCACTTTTTCCCTCTTTTCTTGTTATTAATATGGTTGAAGAGCTTTTTTTGATCCTTTGCTAGGTCCAAGTCTGTTTTAGCAGTTCTATTTTTATCTCTGTACATCTTGACTTCTGTTTGCTGAACAGTCTTCCATCCCTTTTTGGTTCTACAGATATTCCTAATATCCTTCTCGGGGTGGTCATTCATCCAGTTAGGCATGGAACCTTTCCCTA